TTTGGGGACAGAGCCGGGGACCGGCCGGCTCAGCCTCGCCCGATGGCGCTGCCCCCGAACGCTGGCTATCTCCCATCTCTGCTGTGATTATTGAAGCCAAAGCCGCAGATATGAATTCTGTGCTCCCATGCCCATAATGTTGGTATCGTTTTTTTCTGAAAACAGTGCTTTTTGATATGAAAGTATTCACTGGCACTCCTGGCTTCTGGTTCTAACTTCCTTCCAATCTATTTTTCATTTCCTTTCATCGCCAGTGTGGAAATAATGCCATTTGTTTTCATGCCCTTCTCCCCATCCCCACGTAGAAAACAGTGGAAGCTTCCGCAGTGGATGTTTGCAGCCAGCCAGCTCTGAATCCGCCCTTGGAGCAGGCTCCCACTTCTCTCCAGGCGGACCTGGCTGCATGCGGAAAGCTGGTGCACGCAGCCCTGAGCTGGCCGGCAACAGCGGAAAATTTAATTTGCAGCTTCAGGAACGCGGCAGAGGCAGTGAAATCTCATTTGAGTGTTCCCTTGATCTGATCTTTGGGAACTTCATCATTCTGGCTATTTTTATGTTATCTGATTTTAAAGTTTTATGTGCTTTCGAACTGATAACCTAAAATTGAAATATTAAATCCCTATTCATAAATTTCTCAGCCTCTGTTTTACAGAGTTTATGTCCTTTAGTTTGATTTGTTCGTGCGTGGGAGACGGGGAATTAAGGGGTTTTTTCCCCCTCTTCTCTGCGTGGCCATTTCTCAGCTTCCCGCCTCCGGCTTTCCCAGCAGGAAGCCCCCCTTGGTCCTCCTTGCCTCAGTCTCCCAGCCTGGCTCTTTTTATCTATGAGACGAAACGAGAGTAAAGAGAAATTAATAAGGTGTTTTTCATCCTCCCCCCGCCCCACAACCATTTCTCTCTTTTTTCCATTCCAGGCAGCTGATACTGATCTTGGAGCTCTACCACCCCAGTGATGTTTATGACTATTTAATGCATATTGCCTTAAAGTTGTGTGCAGACAAAGTCTCTGAGGTTCGGTGGATCTCCTTCAGACTAGTAAGGAATCGTGGCCTTTCTGTTTGTGATTTTTGGAAATAGGAATATTTCTGTTTATTCCATTTTTAACCACTTTATTTTTTCTGGGCTTAATTTGTCAGTTCGCCTATGAAACCAGCTTTTCTATTTTGGAATTAGGAACTGCATGATAGTTTTATCAGTTTGTGAGATAGCTTCGTTGTTAAGTTGTATGCTTCCGTGATGGAAATCGTGGGTGAATCATTTTACAGAGGAGACCCTTTAAACGGTGCCTTAGTGTGCTTTTAAACACGGGTCGGACTGACTGTACAGCATGGTTTTGTAAAAAGGTAGTGAGTGAGCAGAAACCTCAGCATGGGAAAGCCGATCGGTTGTGCGTGGGCTCACACCAGCTGAATACTGAGGGGAAAAGTCTCATTTGAAAATATTGATTTACGAAGGACTCTGATAGTATTAAAATTTTATAAAAATGACATGTTCCGAAAGAGAATGGTTTAGTTATTATGCAAGGGGACATTTTCTCAAATTTGGACTCTTAAGATTAATCATTTTTCCAATGCCAGTCCCTTGTCGAATTTCATTTTAATGAAGGGTTTTATGTGTCCGAGTATGTACGTGTATTGCCGTATATTTAAACATGTTTTCCTCTGTGTTCTGATGATGATTATGTGAAAAAAATTACCTTCTCCCGTACTTCTCCCGTACATTCATTTTAAAGGCGGAAGGGTTCATAAAAATTCCAGTTTCCATGCAGACCAGTATTCATAACGCAGACAGATATCTTCAATTTTTTTTTTCTTCCGATACTTTTCACAGGTCGTGGCAATTCTGCAGAAGTTCTATTCAAACAGCGAAAGTGCACTGGGATTAAATTTCATCAACGAGCTCATCGTAAGGTTCCGGCACTGCTCTAAGTGGGTCGGACGGCAGGCTTTCGCTTTCATTTGTCAGGTTAGCATGGCCTGGGGGTGGGGGTCTCCCCTGGGCACGTGCGCGCGCTGATACCAGGTGCCCTGGACGAAGAATCCAGCCCTGAAGTACTAGCCAGGAACTTGGGGATCCGTGGACCAAAGCCCCTTACCCTACAGGGGACTGTGACTGACTCGGTCGGGCTGAGTGACTTGTCCAGGGTTGGGCAGCCTGTGTGGTCATTCACCGTTGACAGTGTGCCGGGCATGTCCTAGGTGCGGGGGGCAGAGAGCACCCAGCCTGCTCTTCCAGCACCTTCCGCGTGTGAGGCGAGGGCAGGCCCAGCGCCATGCTCCTGTCGCGCCGGGTCCGGGCCGTGTGCGTCACCACCCTCGCCTCAGCCGCTGCCACGGAGGGAGGGCGGGGCGGCGAACGGAGCAGCAGGTCGGGGTCAGGCTTTAATCTCTGTAAAGCGAGGCCCCTGTCAGCCCGTCCGGCTCCTGGCCCAGCTCCTCGGCTCTCCCTGTCCACTCGGAAGGGGCGGCGCCGTGTCCTCAACACCACTCCGCGCGTCCCGTCCTCAGTGACAGCCACCGTGCCACGAGCGTGGCACGCCCACGTGCTGTCAGGCCAGCCTGTTTTCAGATGAAGCAGTGGACGCCCAGAGAGGTTAAGTCTCTTGTTCAGATCACACAGGAAGTGCAAATCCATAATTTTTTTTTCTGTCAAAGTGTTAAAAGTCCTAACTTTTCCACATGCACATCTCCAAGCACACACAGAAAGGTGGAGAGACAGCGAAATGACATCTCGGGAACTGTCACCGGCTTGGTCACGGTACAGGAAAGCTGTGATTGGACTCTGCCCGGCCCAGGCCCTCGCGACCCACGCCACTGAAGGGCTCACCAGGGCCCCCTCTTGGGCTGGAGGGGCATCACGGGCGTACATTGGCCACTTATTTAACAAGGACAGTGGGTGGCAGCGGACGTGCTGGATCCCTGACCGCAGGCCGACACCGTGAAGTCAGTGCCCCAAATCGTTTTGTGGAGAAAGGGTAAAAGAGAGAGTTTCGCTTTTATTTTTAAGTTCGTTGTCTGAGATTTAGAAAAACACACGATGAAACAGGAGAGAAGATACCAACCACTTTTGTTCAAGAACAGTGAATGCTGTGTGCTCTTGCAATTATTAAAGATTTACAAAACCCACAGTAGCAGCAAGAAAAGGAAGGTTCTCATCCAGGCTGCCCCCTGAGTGCTGAGGCGGCGGTCACTTAGACACAACTGTGCGGGGAGAGCGTCACCTGGGGTTGTGAGGGACGACACGACACAGAAGCACTAGACTGGAAGCCGAGGGGGGCCTCGGGCCCAGCACCCTCTGCACTGCCCGCCTCGCCTGTGCCCGGGGCGGGGAAGTGGGGAGGGGCAGCGTGCACCTGCCTCCCCGGTGCGCGGACGGCCTGGCCCAGCTGGTGCCTCCGAGTTCCCCAGCGCGGTGCCTGGCGCCCGGGGGATACTAAGCAAATGCCAGCTGCTCTGGTCCCCCTGCAGACTGATGTGCCACCCACCCCACCTCTCTGTGGTGCAGATGAGGAAACCGAGGCTCAGGAAGGTGAAGCCACGTAGCCAGGACCCCGGAGCTAGTAAACGATCAGGTCACCTGTCTGGCTCACAGGCCTTTGCTTTCTCCACCAAATGTCACACCACTTGTGACCCAGTGCCTGATGATGAATTACAAAGTGGTCACTGTGTTTCTAATCAAATTCAGTGGCTGAGATTTTTAAATCAAGACATACACACCCCTCTCAGAGCAACAGATCCCGAAGCGACTTCTTTGGAACTATTGAAGTGTGTGTTTTAGGAGAACCTTGCGGATCGGCACTGACACCGTCTTCTGGCGGCGGCTTCCTTTCGTCACAGGCGGTAGTGAGCGAGGAGTGTATCCCTGTGGACCAGTTTGTAGAGCATCTGCTCCCCAGCCTTGTGAGCCTGGCGTCGGACCCTGTGCCCAACGTGAGGGTTTTGCTGGCCAAAGCTCTAAGGCAGACACTGTTGGAAAAGGGTATGTGGACCACTTTCCTGAACTTGTGCATTTTTGTCTTCATCAGGCAGCAGCTAGATTTCTTCTCCAGGGAATTGTAGCAAATTATGGGAGAGCATACTTCAGACTTATCGTATAAATTAACATATTCACTTTAATGGGTATTTCGTTATTTATAAAATGACAGGAAATGCTTGTGTTCAGGTTTTACATTTGATAAACGTGCTGAAATGCAAAGTATTCCATCTTCTAGAAACGAGGGAACTTTTTGCACATTTTGAGTCGTGCCATAGAGATTTTGAAAGGTAGCAAATTTAAGCCTTAACTACAATTGGGTTTTAATGGCAGGATTTTGTAGTCAGTAAGAAAAAATATATGCTGCCCTGCCAGTTATTTTCAGCCTGAACAGAAGTAGCGTAAGGCGGGGGTGGGGGTGGGGGTCCCTGGGAGACTCCCTCCCCACCCCACATGCATAGGAGAGGGTCTCCAGCCTGCCCCACCTGCTCCCGCTCCTGTGGCCCACGCATTGCCAGTTCTTCTGTGTTGGAGGGAAGAAAAGATAACGTATTAAAAAGTTTTAGTTGTAATTTAAAAAAATAAGTCTACCTATTCTGGGGAGTTTGTCTTTCACATTTAGGAAATACTCTTTGATTAAGCAATTTTATCATTTTAAAGGACTTATATGATGATAAAGAACTTATACGTATATGACGAGTCTTTGAAAAGTGATCTATTGTCCTGAGTTGTTTAAAAACCTCCAAATCTAGAATTTGTTTTAGAACACAGTTCATGGCACACACGGTTTGAACTCATGGTTTCTCTCGCTAGCATACTTTAGAAATGCCGGTCACCCTCATCTTGAAGTCGTTGAAGAGACCGTCCTGGCTTTGCAGTCAGACCGGGACCAAGATGTCTCCTTTTTCGCCACCCTGGAACCGAAGCGGCGGAACCTCACGGCCACCACCGCGCTGGGAAAGCGGGGCTAGCGGCTCTGTGGCTGCCACGGCCCGGCTGTTTCACGCCTGGCACTCGTCGCTTGCCACGATGGTGCCTCCGAGGGCGGAGAGGGCTCTCACGACCCTTTCCCACCTGCTGTCACAGGGACTGCGTCTGGGACGGGCGCCGGTTCCGCGTGGCCCGGCTGCGCCACACTTGCGCGCCCTGCCTGCCTGTCGCACAGCCTGTGAAACGGTGGTACGAGCAGGTGCCGGGTGGGGGTGGGACCTCCATGGCATCAGGTCACCTGTGTGGGGCTTGTTTTCTCTATTACAAACTGTGTTATTTAAAGCCTCCCCCACCAATGACGTAGTTTGTTAGGAGCTTCCCAGTCTTCAACAGACTCGCACATTTGGCTCCCTTACAGTTTCCTATAAAACATAGTTTATGGTATTTTATTTTATTTTTAACTTTAATACTGTACATATGTAAATAACTCCTGACAGGAAAAAAATATATTAATGTAATATTAGCCTCCTATCAGTGAACAGAACAAATACATCATTTAAATTTATGTTCCACTTTGAATTGCTGCAAATATAGCCCAATTTGTTTACTTTTGAAGAATGTGATAGTTAAAGGAATCTACTAAAGGATGATTTATGGCAGTCTTTCTAATGTTGTACGTTTGTTATAAACTCTCCTTGGAATTTTCCCTCAGACACTCATCCCTCCCCCTTCTCGAGGGAACTGTAGCCATAAAGATATGTATTGGCTTTCGATGGAGGCAAAAAGCAGAAAGGTTTTTCATTCTTACATGGATATGTTAGCACTTGCTTAAGAACTCAGGAGGGAAATTGATCATTGAGATGCGTGGATATTGACTTTGTATCTAATGCTTTAGAACCTTAACAAAAAATAAGAAACCATAGTTCTCATCAGGCCATATACTTGCCCACAAATACCTGTGATTCTCGGGGTATTAAATTGTGATATTCTTCAAACTGACTTAAGTATACAGAACTTAGATTTCACGCTTTTAAAATGTAGATTAAGAGAAAGATGCTCTAGCCTTTAAACAGGTTTTTCATTAATTTAAGGTTCTTTGTCTATTTGATTAAGTTCTGCGCACATGTGTGCCATGTTGCTTTCCTTGTTTCTGTGATCATCTACTCGGAGGGAGGGAAGGGGGTCTGGGCTGCCCACTGGGGTCCAAGAGCAGCTGCCAAGGGCACGTTAGCTGTGTCCATTCTTCCCTTAGATCTTTTTCTTGTCTTTTCTTTCTTTTTGTTTTAAATAAAATGTCTGGAGCTGTATATTGAATTTCCTGGTATACAGGATGCTCTCCCCTCCCCCAGGTTCCATGGAGCCGATTCTTCCAGCAGAAAGGAAGACGGTCCATGCCGTGCCAAAGACAATAAGGTCCGTGTGAGAACTTGAGAGCGTCAGCCACGGTCGCATCCGGACAACTTCAGCAAAGAGCGAGTTAATAAATTGGAGGCTAAATATTAAGAAAAAAAGAAAACTCAATCCATCCGTGTTCAGTACTTGCTCGTAATAAATGGATGGAGGCCGTGTTTTGCTTCAGTAGCAAGCAATTAAAAATTTTCTTATTGCCTAGAAATTGAGATTGTCATGTTGTTAAAATCTGTTGATCTAGCAGCATAAGTAGAATTATTCAACTGTATTGAATTATTCAATCTTGCATTCTGTGCAGAGCTTAATTTTCCATTAAGAAAAAAAGATTAGCCTCAGTTTGTGTTGTGATCTGTGGAATTTGCATGCTGAATCAAACGGGCTGGTCGGCATCCTAGACACTCTGGTAAATAATTTAACCCTTAAAATTTCATTTTATACATTAAAAAGTTTTCTATAATATAATGCCTTTCCAAAGCAAAGATTTTTTTTTTTTATGACTCATTTCGCTGCAAAAAGTATGTTTAAGGCTCACATTTTCTCGTTTTTGGAAACAACCAAGATTTCCCTTAAGACTGTTTTGGCTCCCTGTGGCGTTCTCGCCTGTTGCTCCCCGGGAGCTTGCTTTTTTCCTGAACGTCCTGTCAGGTGCATTAGTGGAAAAGCACAGGATGGGTTTCTCTCAGGTTAGTTAGTTAGAACCATCGTTAGTTAGTTAGAACCATCGTTAGTTAGCCTTTCACCACGTGGACAGGCCCCTTTGTTAAGTGTTTTTATCTGGCACCTTTCTCACTACAAGGATTCGAGAGCATTTTCAAAATTGATGGATTTCGATGCGGCTTCTGCCTTCTTCTGCAGTGGCCCCGTGCCGATTTTTTTCACCAAGTCGTGCCCAGATCTGCCGAAAGGAGTCATATTTCTGCGATTTTTTTTTGGCTAGAAATAATGATTTTTAAGCATGCCTGAAGACTGCGCTTTCCCACTCTCTGTGGACATGCACGCAGTGATGATCTAGAGGGTTATTCATGCATAATTCCCCCCGGCGCTGGGCCCCGGGATTATGCAAAGATTGTGTTTAAGCAGACATGGAGGAGAGGTCAGTTTCCTCACAGAAAGCCGCCTCGCTCTCTTCGTTTTCCACGTGAAAGGAGCTGACATTAAGAGCAGCTTGGAGCTGCGAGCAGGAGCTGGGTCGTGGTGGGAGCTGGGCCCGCGGGGGTCGCGCAGGACGCGGCCTCTCGGCGATGCCTATGTATTGATCTGTATCGATCTCAGTAAAGCTTCCGGCTTTAGGAAGCGCCTGTGCCCTTTCGCGTTGTTTCAGACGCGTCTCGGCTCATCCGCCCACGCTGGAGGCTCGGCCGGCTGGAGGGGCGCCGAGGGCGGGTCCCCCGCGCCCACAGCGGGAGCCGCGGCGGCGACTCGCAGGCCACGAGCCTGACGCTCGACTTGGCCCCAGATGTCTTCACCATGCGGGTGTTGCTGGAGGAGACCGGGGAGATGTTCCGAGTGACAAATTGCCGCGCGGACACGACCGTGCTGGAGCTCAAAAAGGAGTTGGACCTGGTAGCCGGCATCCCCTTGAACCTCCAGCGGCTCCAAGCGGGAGCCGCGGCGGCGACTCGCAGGCCACGAGCCTGACGCTCGACTTGGCCCCAGATGTCTTCACCATGCGGGTGTTGCTGGAGGAGACCGGGGAGATGTTCCGAGTGACAAATTGCCGCGCGGACACGACCGTGCTGGAGCTCAAAAAGGAGTTGGACCTGGTAGCCGGCATCCCCTTGAACCTCCAGCGGCTCCACTACCTGGACCAAGGTGGCCCCTGCGCACCCCCTCCCCTCGCCACGTGTACTCCCTCGACCCGGGGCTCCCAGTCCCCTTTTAAAACCTGCGGTCCCGGAAGGGGAGCTTGCCCACGCGAGAGCCCCCTGAGTTCGAAACAAACCCCAGATGGAAAAGCAAACCCTGGCCACTTAGGGACCGCCCAACCCCAGACAGGCGAGTTCACGGGAGCCCTCAGATCTCAAGGCGAGACCCCACTCCACAAGCGGTGCTGCTGGGATTAGGGCTCCAGTCCCAAAGCTAGCTGTGTAGTCAGCCCTGCCAACCTGAGCAAATTGTGCCCACCTGGGGACCCCAGGTCCCCAAACACGCTGGTACAGCAGGACCCCTCGGAAGCCCAGACCCTCAAGCTCCCCATGTCTTTGTCCGGGACCCAAGTCCCAAGGCCACCAGTTCCCACACACGACTGCAGGTCTGAGACAAAGCCCAGGACCCCAATCACAGGCAAACCTGCTCACATCCGGACCCCAGACTCAAACTTCAAGTCCTCATGCTAGACATGTGGACATCAGAACCCCTAATCCACCAGCCAGCCATGTCCACACAAGGGCAACAAAGACCGAAACAAACCTACCCACTTCAGGACCCCAAAACCCAGAATAGACCTGCCCAAGACTGAACCCCAAATCTCCAGGGTAACCGTGACTACCTCAGAACCCCCCCAAATCCTCTGGTAACTGTGTCCACACAAGGACGCCAAAGCTCAGAGCAAACCATGCCTACTTAGGGACCCCAAAATTCAGAACATACCTGCCCACGAATGAACCCCAAATCTCCAGAGAAACTTAGAGTATCTCAACCCCAGATCCTCTGGCAACTATGCCCATGCCAGGATGTTAAAGCTCAGAATAAACCCTGCCCACTTCAGGACCCCAAAACCAAGAACAAACTTTGCCAAGACTGAACCCCAGATTCCTAGGCTATCCATGTGACCATCAGAACCCCGAATCCTCCAGCAATTGTGTCCACTGATGAATGCTAAAGCCTAAGACGAACTCTGCCCACCCGAGGACCCCACATCTCTATGCGAAGCGTGCCTGCGTTTGAACCTCAAAATCCACACTACGCCTGCCCGCAACAGGAACCCGAACCCCAGGGCAGACCCTGACCGGATTAAGACCCTGAGTCTCGGAGCAGACACTCTCCGTTCTGAGCTCTCCAATCTCTAACTATCCACTGTGCATCCGAATCCCAGTCCATCAGCCATCTCTGTGTGCCCGAGGATACCAGAGCCCAAAGCGAGTTCGTCCCACATCTGGACCCCAAAATTCAAAGCCAACCCCGCCCACATCTGAGAGCCAGATTGCAAGCTCACTACGACTGACTACACCACAACCCCAATCCCAAGCACGGTGTCCTCATAAGGGCTTCAAAACATGAGATAAACTTTGCCCACAGTAGGACCCCAAAACTCAAGTCAAACCTGCCCGTATCTACATCCCAAACCTCCATGGAAACCATGTCTACATCAACACTCCCAAGGTTTAAGCCAACCACACCCATGTGAGGAAGCCAAAGTTCAAAACAAGCCTTGCCTACAACAGGACCCCCAAACCCAAAGCCAACTCTGCTTGTGTTTGAAATCGAAAGTGCTCAGCCAACCTTATTCACATCAGGATCCCAAATTTTAGACCAAACCCTGTCTATGTCAGGATCCCAAACCTCAGGGCAGAACCTGTCGCCATTAAGACCCCCAAATCCCGGGGCGGACCTGGTTCCTCAGCCCTAGTTGTCATACTCCCCAGGCTACATCAGAATCCCAAATCCCCAAACAAGTCCTGCCGCACAAGGACTCCACACCCCAGAATAGACCTTCCCATATCGGGACCCCCAGACAGAAAGTAAACCTTGCCTTCATCGGAACCTCAAATCCGGAGCAAACTCAGCCCTCGTCAGAACCCCAAATCTCAAACCCTGTCCACGTTTGAACCCCGAATACTGGCACTAACCCAGTTGCATCAGAACCCCGAATCTTAAGCTGTGTCCTTGTCTCCGTCAGGAGCTCAAAGCTACCCAGCCGGAATCAGAACCCAGCACCCAAAGCTCACTATGGCTAAATCAGCACCCCAAGGTCCCCTATCCAGACAAACCCCACATGAGAGGTACGCAGTGGAGGGCAAGGACTCTAGAGCCCAGTCTCTCCCTCCATCAATCTTCTTCCCTTGGTCTGGGGACCTGGCTGTCCCTTTCCCGATCCCTACGATATTTAGGATATGAGAACAGGATCGAAGGCCCTGGGCTCCATCATCTCCCCACCCGGTTGACATCAATGCAAAAAACACTTCGAGAAAACGAAGATGTAAAAGCCTCTGTGGCTGCTGCACAGAGAGCGTGAATGGCCGGTACTGCAGACGCTCTGCAGCACTACTGCAGGGGCCGGGGCCGGTGGCGACAGACAGCGCTGAGAGCAGCCTGTCTCCACGCCGCTGCCCCCGGGGGCCCCGCTCGGCTTCCCGGCCTGTGAGGCTGAGCCCTTTCGAGCTCTCGACGTCTCCGTGCCGTTTCGCTCCATAGGCAGAAACGACTAGGGAAGAACGAAATGGACGCGAAAGGCCAAAGGACCTCGCGTCGCTCTGAGACAGATGCAGGGTTTTTCACGACGTATTTACTGTGCTGGAGGAGTGTCTGGAAGATGTTTTGGGGGCATTTGTGAGGCTTTATTTGGAAAGAAAGAGATCTCGAACCCGGTCTGCGTTTCATAGGTTGCAAATGACGTGAACTCTTGAAGGACTTAGAGTTCCAAAACGAGGGATTCGAAAATTACGTATCCTGAGCCACAGACGTCTGGCACCCCTTGTTAATTTACTTTCTCCGATGAGCTATGCCGAGCTATGAATTCAAGAAAGCTGAGAGGGAATGAAAGAGATCAGTGTTAAGTAGGCAGATGTCACAATCTGCCTACTGATGTCACAATCTTGTCATTCGGCAAGCACTTAGCGACCGTTAGAAGCTTGACGTCTCTTGTGGTCGGAATCCTTAGTATTGATGGCCGATAAAGAGAGAAGGCACAACTACGTTGATGGAAGGAGTTTGGGCTTCTGCCTGTAGCTAGTGAGCTGACGCCTCTTTACCCACCTCTAAGGCTGCCGGGGAGGATCAAATGAGAGAATGTGTGTGAAAACCTTGAGAGACACAGATCTAAAAGAGGCGAGCAAGCCCATGGATGAGGGTGCCCTCACACGTCTGTTGTCAACACTAATAATTTATTTAGCTGGCGATAATTAGTACTTGTCTTAGCCGAAGGCAGTCGCTCCCTACCTATTGAAAAAGAATGCTCTGCTTTCTGTGGGCGCCCTGTCCAGCACGTGCGAATCACACTCCCGTCTTTCCCAGGGAAATATAGCTTTACTCAGTGTTTTCAAAGTTGATAAGAAGACAGGGTGTCTTGCTTAGACTAATCGCTGATTAGCCTCTGTGTTGCAACCACAAATAAGACCCCAATGAACAGGTCGGCTAGTCGCTATTTCCTGTTTACATCCGCCATCCGGAGTAAACAAAGGTTCCAGCAGAGCCCACGGTGACGAGTGGGGGGTGCTGGAGGGAAGGCAAGTCTGCTCGGAGTCCTGGCTTTGCCATTTGCTAGGGGGCTTCAGTGTGCTCATCAGCAAATGGCGATGACGGTCCTAGCTTGTGGCGAGGATTAAGGAATGTAGGGTCTTAGTACAGGTGCTTGATCGTGGAACCGGAAAACTCACAAACTCCACTTGGAGTAAATGCTACTTCCGCCCGGGCAGAGTTGAGATGTTATATTTGTGGCATGGCTTACGAAGAAATCAAATCGTTCTGTTAAGGAAGAATATAGGTGGCCACGTAAGAAAATATCTGCATATTTAAAAAGGTAAACTAAATACAACTTCAGTTTCTTAAAATGTTCTATAATCCTCTTCTGCTGTTTCTGACGGCCTTCCCCAGAGAGTCTGGGGTCACGAAGTGTGAGTAGAAGCGCCCCATTCTTTCATATGAGTGAGAGGCTATTCTGGGTGACGCCCCAGACCAAGGTGTTCTGGCTTCTGCAACCCAAATTACGGTGAATGCCAACGTCACCATTTTATATCTCCACAGCTTCTCAATGGACGCAATTTTGTCCCCCAAGGGCCACTTGGCAAGGCGCAGTGACATTTCTGGTTGTCACGACTAGGCGGTTGTGCCACTGACATCTTGCGAGTAGAGCCCAGGGGTGCTGCTAGACGCCCTTTACAAAGCGCAGACGGCCCCATGACAGGAAATGATCCAGTCCCACGTGTCGATGGCGCCAAGGTCGAGAAACGCTGCTGTTGATTATAATTTGAAAGAGCCAACAATTTTTTGTCATCGTGTTGCTGCTTTAACCAGCTGATGACAACATTGACCAGAGTATTAGTTTAACGTACACAATTTCTGTAACTACACTGTGCTGTGACTGTGATATGTAGTTATTTCAAGTGTAAGTAGTTCTATTTGTAGAGTTGCCTCATAAAATGACTTTACTGACTCGTGTTTTTCTGCAATAAGATGAGTTATAACTACAGAATTTTATAAATCGTTGCCTTTTTTATTTTTTTGTTGTGTGATTTGGCTTCTATCTGAGCCGAGCCAAATTAATTTTTCTAAAAGCATTAACGACCACAAACAGATTCGTGCAGAGTCATCCAATGAGATGAATGCTCAAGGTTCTAAAATTATCTTTGTGATGCCCGAGGTCAGATAATCTCTTAACCCACGTAATAGTTTATTTTTAACACCCAACTTTTTTTTTTTTTAAAAAAGACAAAATGATTCCCCCTAGGCATTTTGATGGATGACACCACACTGAAGTTCCATGATGTCGTTCCTGGCGGGATTATTTCGTTGTGTGTCTGGCATTACGATGGATGGATGGAGCTGGTTTTGGCGGCTGTGGAAGGGGATCCCAGTAAGGTGTTTTTATGATTCTTTAAATGGATATTATACTTCGTGAAGCAACTGTAAGTTGTGCATGCGTGGGTGGGTGGGGGGCACTTATTGTTAATGCGACTATAATTTGAGCAAAAGTTTCAGAGCAGGAAAAAAGATAACAAGGACTTAGGTCATAACGATCAAATACGCTATTGAGTGCTTCAGTCGTGGGATGCCACTGTGTTCACTTATTTGTGATTTATAACCTGCTCACGCCCCCGGAAGGGATGGGGCAGTGCATTTTCTACTCAGGTGTGCATTTTGTAAAGTTGGAAACCTAACTTAACTGTGAGGAGAGGAGGCCAGATAAACATGGAGCTTCATAGCCCACAGCGCTGGATGATGCAGCGAGCCTGGTGCGGGGGGTGGGGGGTGTCCCACCCCAAGGGGCAAGACCGCGCACTGCTCGCGTACACGGCAGGCCTTGTACTCTGCTGTCGGCTCTGGGGTGAGCGGTGCGTGTGGTGGGGAGGAGGTGTCCACCCAGTGGCGAAGATGGGTCACTCAGACACAAGGCAGCAGGTGCATGTTCCTTCTAGAAAAGCGAGGAAGTTGTGCAGAAGAGGAGACAGTTTCCTTCTGGGGGAGAGAGGTCAGGGAAGATTGGGTGCAGGGGGGGTGCGGGGATTAGGTTGGGGCGGCAGGGCCGGACTGCAGCCCCCCGCCCCCTCGGATGTGTGGGTCTCAGCAGGGAAGGCTTGTACGGTCCCTCCCAGGCCTCCCCTGCCTGTCCCCTCCTCCCAGGCCTTCCCCGGCCTCCGCTTTGCCACCATGCCGGGGCCTTCTGGCTTTGGCTCTGGACGTGGGGTGGTTCTGTCTTGAGCAGAATTGCCATGTCCTGTGCCTAGTGCACTGTTACACGCTGCCCCTCCTTGCTGCCCCACATCGGACGCTGGCATGAGGGCCAGCATCCCCCCCATGCCCAGAGGCCAAGTTCGCCACGCGATGATTCTGTGACGGGGGGCTGTTATTCACCCAAGAGCCGAGTTCAGTGTGTTCCATACGCTGACGGAGACAATGGGCCTGGAAATAGCTCGGAAGGTCGGAGTTCACGAAGTCTCCAGAGTTTGTCCCCCCCCGGGAGGCCGCTTCGCGCTGGCCGGGGTCTTCCTTCGTGGCCGCAGGCACCTTCCTCTGGATACCCAGCAAATCTATTTTTCTCTCTTCAAAACATTGACAGGAAGAACTTCCTGCCTTCCGAGCCGGCCCGATGGTAAATTCGTATTTCCTGGACATGTGTAGAGTGTCAAACAATGTTCGCCCCTGTTCTCTTGGGTGTTTTCCAACTCTCGCGTTGGGGTTCGCCCTCTCCGTTCCCATCGCGAGCCTTGACATGGCGCGTGAGCTGTCCTCCAGTCGGGGGGGTCCCGTCACCCCCCGCCCCCGCCCCGCACCCCGGAGCCAGGGGCATCTGCCCGTCAGCAACAACCGGTCTCACTGTGTCCCCTGTGTACCCGGCCCAGCTGTTCTGCCTCGGCGTCACCGAAGAGTCTTTCTACCGAACTGCCAACTCGCAGCACCTCGAGGAGAAGCAGCGGAAGAGATGGGTGTCTCAGAGAGCAGCCGTGGCGCTGTATGTCACCTCGCACAGAGGGCACGCGGAGGCCGTGCAGTACCTTCTAGAAAACGGTAATTCTGGTAGACGGCCGAGGACCTACAGGACTTGGGGTCCTCTGCAGGGAGGGAGGGCAGAGTGGCCGGTCTTCCTGGTCCCTCCAGTCTTATCGGCCACCGGTCACGGCCCCCGCTGGGCCACTCGACGCCGGTCTGAGGTATCCCAGGACAGTGCTGTTAGCGGCCGTGTCCTCTCTCTCCGCCAGCGCTCGAGAAGCTCCTTTCTGCTGTGGGGAGATGGAACTTTCAGGACACCAAGGCCTGGGACAGCTGAAAGGGCTTCTTGGCTCCCACGTCCAGCCAGACGCACGGCTGGGGACGTTCCCCAGCTGCCCGCGTGATCTGGGTTTCAACCATAGTCCGAGGGGCCAGACCAGGCGGGCATCATTCTCCTGATGGTTGACAGGCCGGCCAGTCTCCTTTCTCCAAGCTTTTGAATTACTTCCCTCAGGAGACAGTTACCCCAAACCCTCTTTTAATCTCTCCTCCACCAAAGGGTAGGTTTCTCTCCCCCCCCACCCCCCAATTAGAAGCCTTAGCTGCCCACGTGGTCTCTGACTTCAAGGGCTTTACGTGAGATTCTGCAGGCGTACGCTTATCTGCCCTGGATGTGGGTGTTTTTGAGAAGAAGGCCCACTGAATGGTGTAGACCATTCGAGAACAATAGACAGTAGTTGCAGACGGCCCCGGCCACCACTTCCTCGGGAAGAGGAAGAACGCGTGACGGTATTTGGTCAATGGTTTGAGGCCCAGAGGGCGGCCTCACCCCAGGGTCTTGCGTGTCAACTTGCCTCCGAATTAGACCCTTTCTCTCCTGCCCGTGGCCTTGACCCCAGCCTCTCTTCGCTCAGTCTTTGCTTTTTTTTTTTTTTAACCGTTTCCACCGAGAAAAGCAGCAAATATGTCAGGTGCTTGGCAGGATGGCCGGGCGGCGAGCCGGTGCTGGACAGGGTTTTCCTGACTGCGCCCTCCTTCCACCGCCATCTGCACATCGCCTGTCACAGTCCTTCTCACTCAGAAAAAGTCACTTTCACTCCGATGGAACCGTGATGTGCTTGAAAACACCAGTTAAAAAATTACAGCCAGTTTTGCAAAGTTTTCTGTCCCCTGCAGACAGCTGTTGCTAAGACGGGGCCGGGGCCAACTGTCCCGAAGGCCCGTTGAAAGCTTTGCGTCACCGGCTGGCCACGGCTCATGGGAACCAGCTCTCGAAAACGTCAGCTGCGTGGAATCGATTTGCCTTGTTTTCTGTGTCACGATATTTGTTATCCAGAATTTGATTTGATTCAACGAGTCCATACTGGACACCTGCCATCGGCCCATCCATCTGTGGGAGGCAGTGCGGGATTCAGGGGAAGCGAGACCTGTCCATGAGTCAGGCCGCCCCCACAGCCTGGCTTCCCGCGGCATCGCCCGACGGGCCGGGGCTGAAAACGGCAGTGGTCAAAACAACTGTGTTTTCTGCCCTTGAGGAGTTTACGAAGGGAGGTCAGCAAGTGATTACGAGCAATTCATTCCGTGGTCAGTTGTGCTCAGCACATTCTGAAGATGCAAAGTGCGCAGAGGAGTTTGTTGGTGGGGGTGGGGGGTGGTGTTAAGGGCTCCCTGAAGAGGAGGGAGCAACTTAAAGAAGGACAGAAGTAGGGAGGGGGAAAAGAAATGGGGTGTCACAAGCAACGGGCCCAGCAAGTGCAAAGGGCCCGGGGTGGGCGGAGGGAGCCGCGGATAGTTAAGGATATTTAAGGGGTGAAGGTAGAAGCCTGG